TGGGCCCCGGGCCAGTGCTCACATTCGCTCTTTTGCTCTGGGCGCAGGGAGCCAGGGTCCTCCTTGGGCTGTCTCCCCCAGGCCCCAGGCCCTGGCCTGACTGGCCCGCCAGGGCTCTGGCTAGAGGCTAATGGACAGGGAGGAGGGGTCAGCCAGACTGAGAAGCGAGGCTGATGAGGTTTGCCAGTCATGTCTGCGTCATCTGAATGCCACCCCAGAGCGTTCTCTCAAGTCACCTGGCCATCTCCGGCTCTCCGGCCTCACCCCGCTCCTCCCCCAGCCAGCAGACCTTGCGCTGACAGACAGACCCTGAATCCAGGCCCTACACGCGCCCCCACCCCCTCTCCCCAGTGAGGGAGTCTCCACAGATGTGGTCCCGAAACCAGGGTGCTGGGTTTCTAGCCAATGACCCCCCCACACTCCTGCCAGAGTCAATTCGAGAGGTCAGAAGAAGATGCAGAGAAAAGGCAGGGTCAGGGACAAGGGTTCAGACCCCTCTGGAGCACGCATTCAGGCTTCCTCCTCTGTGAGCCCCTCCCCTGCTGCCAAGCCACAGTCCACAGGGTTGAGGGTGGAGGGTAAAGCAGGGCTGCAGGGGGGCTTCTGGGACAGCAACAGGTTTCAGGAATCAAGCTGGACCCTGCAGCAGTTAACTCCTTCCTCCCCACTTTTCTCCATTCAGTCGAGGGGAAACTGAGTCACAGGCTAGGGTTCATGCGAGGAGAGGGCAGAAACCCAAACCTCAAGGCCAGGCCCTGGACAGGTGTGAACACCTAGGGCCTGTGAACTGGGTCCCCTCCTTCCTGAATCTAGCTGAAGGCTGACTTGCCAGAGGAGCTGGGGTTTGAAGAGACAGCCCAGAAGGCACCATCTCCACTCCCCAGTACAGGTACCTCTGGTCTGTGGGACCTGGCCCGGAGCTCTTCCTCCAGATCTGCCAGGGCTGGCAGCCTGGGGGGCAGTGCCAGGTTTTTTTTTTAGAAGCGACGGAGGCGGCCGGATTTCTCTGGCAGGGGAGAGGAGGCCGAATGGAGGCCCCTATTGGGGACACGGAGGACCTGGTCCGCTGCTCCTCCGCCAGGAGGTCCCCCAGGACTACACTGGCTGGCAGGGGTCGAGTGTGGGTAAGCGCTGCTCACTGCGCCCTGGCCGACGCTGGGCAGCTGGGCCAGCTTCTAACTGCGCCCGGGCCAGTGAGTGAGGCCCAAGACACCTGTCACTGCCCCCTCAGCCTTCCCAAGCCGGGGGCTGGCAGGCGGGCTCCAGCCTACCTCCTGCGGGCCGCGCTCCTGGGCTCAGCTCCCGGGCTCGCGGC